ACTTCATTTTTTTTTACAGTGCCCAGAACAGGACAGTTTTCAATTACGTCATTGGTAACTGTAAACAGTATTGCTTGTGATAGCTTGAGGGTAAGTTGTTAACTCTTAGGTCTTGAGTTCAAATTTTTCTGGCTCCTAAAATTCCTTGGCCATTATTTCTGATAATTGATTGTTCTTTACTATATTTTTTACATGGCTTTATTAAAATTTTTACTTTAAGAAGAATTTTCTAAAATATGTATGTACCCTGGTGGATTGTTTTACACAAACCTAGCCTGGGTCTTTGATTTAGAAACAGTTACTGACCCTTTGTATCTTTAAACAATAACTATTAGTAGTTTATGCAGTTACTAAATCCCAATTTGGGGAGTGTGGTGGTTCTGTGGGATAAGCACTGGACTGCGGTGGTTGGAGCCCACCAGCTACTCCACAGGAGAAAGATGAGGCTTTCTGTTCCCACAAAGATTCACAGTCACCGAAAGAAACCCTATACAGAGCTGCTGTGGCTCAGAACTGACTCAACAACACCTAACAACAACAACAACAACAACCAACCTTCGTTTTTCATTTACTTATTCATGTTAGTAACTCAAACTGCAAATACGTAGTAAGCCTAACATATTGCCTGGTTTGAGAAGTATTTAGTATACTTGAATCACTTTCATAGTAAACATTTGCTCTCATCAGTTCCCAGATGAGGAACATTTTTCTTTTTCTTTTTCACTTCTAGCCCCTCTGCAGGCATTTCCTTCAGCAGTCATTATCTTTTTATGTATTGGAGTTTTCATCTGTTCAAAGTTGATGTTTACAGTATGTTTGTATAACTTGGATTATAATTACCATACTGAAATATAATTATTTCAGAACTGAGTCAGTGGTGAGAATGAAAGCCATCTGGTACCCTAGCTAAATCCAATTTCTCTTTTACTGAGAATTTCTATTATAGCTTATCACAGAAACGGTGACTTAGAAACAACCTAGAGTGTTCTTTGTTGGTGTTTCTTTTCAAAATCACCTTTGGTCCAAATAATAACACTAACATTTCTACAGAACATCTGATTGTGAAGTATTATCCCAAGTAACTTATAACTTGGTTCTCAGAACAGTCTGAGATAGCTGTAGGACAGGTGACAGAAGAGGCAACAGGTTCAGGTAGAGTGCTTAACCAGAAGGTCACTCTGCTCATTAAAGAAGAGAACGGCAGCAGAACCCCAGCTTTCTGTATTACAGTCTGGTGGATTTGGGGGTTTTTCCCTTTTGTTATCCTGTGCTATATCAGAAATCCCATGATTGTACGAGTTGTGTTACCAAATCCTTCACAATGAAGCCATTGTCCCCACCTTTCCTTGTGATCTTTTTCAAAAAAAGTTAAACATTTCATGAAGAGAGTAAGATTCCTGTCCCCTACCACCTTACCTTTGGGAGCGCTGTCGGAGAAGTACTAGATTGCTAAGCACAAAGCCTTCTCCAGTACATAAAAAGATAATAATTTCTATTCCTGTAAACATTTATAGCCTCAGAAACTCTATACAGGGTCCCTATGAATCAGAATCTACTCGATGGCACTTAACAACCACTACCACCATATTGCCTATTCTTTAATGTCAGTTTATAAAACTCAATAAAAATAAAGCTAGCAGCAACACCAGAGATGGAGGCAGAGGTGATGGCATGGAGATATAGAGCAGCTGGGTTGGGGTCTCTGGACTCATGGAAAGAGAAAGGCTGTGTGCTGGCAGTCAGGAGGCTGGCTTGCAGAATGTACCCTTTGGTTGTTTAAATGATGATACATTCCTGAGTGTTTTTGTATACATCAAAAAACAACAACAACAACAACAAACAGGAAATAGAAGCAAATACTGTTAAATGACGATATATGGAGGGGATTGTAATCATTGCCATGAAACAAAATGCGATAGGATGAATGCAAAACCGATGTTCTCCAATGTAAACTATCACTCAATTCACAATAAAAGCTTTAAAAAAATAAAAATCAAAGCTAGACTTCCAATGGCGTACAGGCTCCTATCTACGTAGGCCCCCAGCCACCTCTCTGGCCTCATCTCCTACTTTTCCACTTGTTCATTGCATCCTAGACCCTGGTTTACTTGCTATTTCTCAGATGCATAGTCCTGCTCAGAATCTTTGCTTTCTCTGCTTGAACTAGAATGTTCTTTCCCTAAATGTTGCAGGGCTTATTTTCTTGTATTCTGTCCTCCAGGGTCACCTCAGTGAGGCCTTTCCTTATCACCCTACCCACACTGCCTTCTCAGTCCCCCTTTCTCTGCTTTCTCTTTAGCACTTATTCCCATCTCTCTTTATTTTTCTATCAACTGTCTGTCAAACTAGAATGTAAACTCTATGAAGGCAGACTTAGTTGTATTCACTGCCATAATTCTAGCCCCCAACAATAGGACCAACATATAATAACGGAATCTCAATAAATACTTTTTAAATGAGCAAATGAATGAATCAGAAAAGGCCTGGAGGTTTTGTGGATGGACAAGCAAGGATGGTAACTTTATAGATGGAAATGTGGTATTTTCCTTTCTCAAAATGTTCATACTTTTATAAGTTTTATTATTTTCGATAATTTCTATTACTTTGTTTTTGCAAAGTAATCACAAGGCAAACAGCATGTACCTCCTAAAATGGTGCAATAAAAATACATGGTGTTTTTGTAAAAAAAAAAAAATAGAACCTGAATTTGATCAAGCCTTGTCTAGCATACAAAGAGCCCTCCTGGGGCTGTGGGTTACACATTGAGCTACTAACTGCAAAGTTGGTGGTTTAAATGCACTAGCTATTCTGTGGGAGAAAGATAAGGCTAAATGTTTCCCTAAGATTTAGAGTCTTAGAAAATCCTTTACAGGGTTGTTACTATGAGTCAGATTTGACTTAAGGCAGTGGGTTTTGGTTTGGGGGGATCTAGTATACAGGGGGCCCTGGTGTGGCGCTGTGGGTTAATGCGCCAGACTGCAAAGCCGTTTGAACTGCAATGTTTGCAGTTCAAGCTCACCAGCTGCTCCTCGGAAACCCTATACAGGGTCACTATGGGTCAGAATCGACTCGACAGCACTTAACAACAACAACAACAGTATACAGGGAATAAATAAGAGATTGGTTGGTTGCTAATTAGTTGCCATGGAGTCGGTTCCGACTCACAGTGACCCTATGCACGACAGAACAAAATACTATCCAATTCTTTGTCAATCCATCTCGTTGGGGGGGTCTTCCTCTTTCTTGCTAACCCTCTACTTTACCAAGCATGATGTCCTTCTCCAGGGAATGGTCCTTCCTGATAATATGTCCAAAGTATAAGAGATGAAATCTCATCTAAGGAGCATTCTGGATACATTTCTTCCTACACAGATTTGTTTGTTGTTTTGACAGTCCATGATACTTTAAAAATTCTTTCCAACACCATTACTCAAATGATTCGATTCTTCTATGGTCATCCTTATTCATTGTCTAACTTTCACATGCTTATGAGGTGATGGAACATTCTATTACTTGGCTCAGGTCCTGAAACTGATATCTTTACTTGTGAACACATTAAAGAGGTCTTGTACAACAGATTTGCCTATACAAAATGTCATTTGATTTCTCGACTGCTGCCTCCTCATGGAACATTCATATGTTGATAGTGGATTTGAGCAAAATGAAGTCTTTGACAACTTCAGTCATCCCTCCATTTATCATTATCTTATTTATTGGTCCAGTTGTGAGGATTTTTGTTGTCTTTACATTGAGGTACAGCTCATACTGAACATTGTAGTCTGGAGGAGCGTGTCAAATCACACTACTAGGTTGTTGTGTTCATTGGTAGTTGTTGTCAAGTTGATTCTGATTCTGGTGACTTCATGTGCAGAGTAGAACTGCTCCATTGTGTTTCTCAGTCTAACTTTTTGGAAGCAGATTAATTATCAGGCCTGTCTTCCAAGGTACCTCTTCTGGATGGGTTAGAATCACCAGCCTTTCCATTAGGAGCAGAGCACTTCATCAATTTCACTATCCAGGACTCCTACTGTGGAGTTATTGTTCACAAAATTCAGAATCCAGAAAATTCTACAAATCAAATGACCAAGTTTTAAAAATAAATGACAAGTGGGGAAAAGGAAGGCTAATCTATAGATTTAAAGTGACTTAGACATATTGATATCAACCAAATGCAATGTGTATGCCTTATTTGGGGAGTCCTGGTGTGGCACTATGGGCTAATGCTCTGGACTGCAAAGTCGGTTTAGACTGCAAGGTAGGTAGTTCAAGCTCACCAGCCGCTCTTCAGAAACCCTATACAGGGTCGCCATGTTGGTACCGATTCAACAGCACTTAACAACAACAACAACAAACTATCCAAATGTGAAGAGGCAATGAGAAATTAGAGCATTGATTAACTGTATATTAGATGATTTTACTGAAGCCTCATTTTTAAAAGAATAGTAATGGCTTAACAGTCATGCTAAAAAGAATATCTTTTAAATGTATAAACGATTTACAAATGAAATGATATATGATGACTGGGATTTTTAAATAATCTGGAATGGGAGAGTAGATATAGATGAATGAAAATTGACCATAAATTGATGATTGAAGCTGAGCAATGGTACCTGAGTTCATTTACTATCTTATTGTGTAAATGTTTAAAACTTTTCTATTAAGAAGTTAAAAGTAAAAAACACAGTCGTGCATTTAATATCATTAAACTGTACCTGTAAAGATTGTTGAACTAAACTAAATGGAGAGTATTGGAGAGATCACAGTAATTCTATTTTGATGTCTTCAAGTTCAGTGAATAAGGATCATAGTCACTGCTGTTTTCTTGTTACCAAGTTCTGTACGTATTTAATATGTATTTATTCAATCAGCCTTGAACTTAAAGTCTTACCTTGATTCAGTTATAAAGCAGCTTGAAGTGTATGTTTATCTTTAAATAAACTATTAAGCCTCACTTATTATTCGTTTCTTTTTGTTTTGTTTTTTTCTCCTTACCTTTCTAGTCTGGAGTTAATCAAAGAGCCTGTTTCCACAAAATGTGACCATATATTTTGCAAGTAAGTGTGAATGTTTCACATGACTCCTTCATTTAAAAAAAAGCATCTAACTTTATAGAAGCTTTAACTTCAATTAAGAAGAAATATCTTCTTTTTGTTCACTTCCCTATTTCCTGCTTTTCCCCTTCAAGGTTTGTTGTTTTCTTGCCTTATAACCTCTGTAAAGATAGAAAAAGAACTGATGTCAGTTTATATTTAGTTTGATATTCATTCATATGAGTGATTAAAGTTACATTTATATATTTAAGAATTTTGCTGTTTCAAATGATAATCTTTGTTTCTTGATAGAATTTCAGAAAAAATAGGGTAGGTAATTTCATGGGACAGGGGGCTGTCTTTCCCTAAAGTTGAACTAGGATCTACCCCTGAATACTAATTTCTTGTTAAGTGTTTTTGTTTGTTTGTTTGTTTTTAAATTGAAAAAAGAGAATCCTGTACATGAGCTTAGTAGCACACCAGGGGGTGTAATACAAGTGCATTTACTTCTATTCCACGCCCGGAGCTTTTAATGTAATTGAGTTTAAAATTGACTATGATTTTAGGAAATTCATGAAGACCAAGCTAAGAATTCTTGAATTAAAACCTATGTTTGTTTTTTCATTAGGAGCAGTATTTTCCTTTGTTTATAAAGGATTTTAACCCATCAGGATATGTTATATGTGTTCTTTAAGTCTTCTTAGACATTCATTTATTGCTGGGTGGTCTGAGACAACCAACAAGTTGCTTTATGTCCAGAGCCTTTCCCAAAGCCCAACCCAAGTCCATTCCTTCTCATAGTGACCCTTCAGAACAGTGGAGCTGCCCAGATGGTTGCCAAGACTGTCAATGTTTGGGGAAGTAGACTTGCCACATCTGTCTTCTGCAGAGCAGCGACTCGGTTCAACAGCCTGTCTTTTGGTTAGCAGTCGAGCCCTTAACCACTGCACGGTCAGGGCCCCTTTCAAAAAGCCCAAGAGTCCCAAAAAAGCCAGACCCTTCTTAGTTCCTGAGAAGTGAGCATCTTTTCAATGCTAGGCAAAATGAACTGAGTTGGTTTTGTTTTTTAAACATTTTGTTATTGAGATATAATTCACATACCATAAAATTCACCCAGTTACAATACACAATTCCGTTTGTGTGTTTTAGCATACTGACAATTATGCAGTCATTATCACAGTCTTAAGTTTAGAATATTTTCATCACCCCAAAAAGAAACTCCATTAGCAACTACTTCCCACTGCCAGCTCTCATCCCCCAGTCTAACTAATCTACTTTCTGTCTCTGAATTTCCCTGTTCTGGACATTTCCTGTAAAAGGTGACCTTTGGTTGGTGGCTTCTTTTGTGGAATATGCTTTCAAGATTCATACATGCTGTAGTTAAGGAGCTCTGGTAGCGTAATGGTTACTAATCAGGCTGCGAACCTCAGGGTCAGCAGTTTGAAACTACCAGCTGTTCCACGGGAGAAAGATGAGGCTTTCTGCTCCTGTAAAGATTTACAGCCTCGGAAACCCTGTACAGGGTCGCTATGAATCGGAACCGACTCCACAGCACATAACAATAGCAACAACATGTTATAGTATGTATCAGTACTTCATTCTTTTTTTATGGCTAAATATTTTATTGTATGAATATCACATTTTTCTTATGCATCTATCAGTTAATGAACATTTTGATTATTTCTTTTTAGCTATTATGAATAATGTTGCTATAAACATTCTTATATAAATATTTGTGTATACATATGTCTTCGTTTCTCTTAAGAATGAAGAGTCCTGGTGTGGTGCTATAGGATAATCACTTGACTGCTAACTGCAAGGTTGGTGGTTCAAATCCACCAGCCACTTTTTAGAAACCTTAAAAGGGTCACTGAGTTGAAACTGACTCACTGGCACTTAACAACAAGAATGGTAGCTTTATGTTTAAACATGTTGAGGAACTGCCAAGGTGTTCTCCAAAGTGTCTGTACCGTTTTATAATCCCAGCAGCAATGAAGGAAGATTCTCCACATCCTCTCCAACAGTTGTTCTTACCTGTCTTTTTGATTATAGCCATGCTAACCCAACCAATGGGAGCACGGTGGTTTGGTACGATAAGCACTAGGCTGTGAACCACTAGGTCGGTGGTTCAAGCCCACCAGCTGTTCAACAAGAGAAATGGGAAGCTTTTTTGCTCCTGCAAAGATTTTTAGCCTCAGAAACCCTATATAGGGTCACTGTGATTTGGAACTGACTCTACAGCACTTAACAACATGTCAGCCACACCTTTATCATTTAGTCAATTCCTACTCCTAGCAATGCTGGAGAGCAGAGTAGAGCTGCCCCCTAGCATTTCCAAGGCTGTAAATCTTTAGGGAAGCAGACTGCCACATCTTTCTCCTGCAGAGCGGTTGGTAGTGGTCTGTGGTTGTGTGCCACTGAGTTGGTTCTGACTCTTAGTGACCCTGTATAGAGTTTCTGAAGCTGTAAATCTTTGTGGGAGCAGAAAGCCTCATCTTTCTCCCATAGAGCGACTCATAGATTCAAACTGCTGGCCTTGCAGTTAGTAGCCCACCTTATAATCCATTGCGCTACCAGGGCTCCTTGTGGCTAGCCTAAAAACTCCCCTGCCATCAAGTCTTCTGATCTGTTGTTAAGTAGCATTGAGGCTGTTCCTACTCATAGCAACCCTGTACAGGGTTTCCAAGGAGCAGCTGGTATGTTTGAATGGTTGACCTTGTGATTAGCAGTCCGGTGTTTATCCTATAGTGCCACATCAGGATTCCCTTCTGCTTCATAAAAATACAGGGTCTCTGAGACTATAAGTCTTTATGTGAGTTGACAGCCTCATCTCTTGCCAGCATAGGAGCTGGTGGGTTTGAACTGTCAACTTTGTGATGTTAACAACCCAGCTTCTAACCCATAGCGCCACCAGGACCCCAAATAGCCATCCTTGTTGCTGTTGTTGTTAAGTGCCATCCAGTCGGTTCTGACTCATAGCAACCCTGAATAGAGTTTCTGAGGAGCAGTTGGTGAGTTTGAACTGCCAACCATGTGATTCAAACTGACCTTGCAGCCGAGTGCTTATCCTACAATGCTACAGCAGGCCTCGGACTCCAGTAGCCATCCTAGTGAGTGTGAAAGGAGCCTTGGTTGCCCTGAGCTGTTAAATGAAAGGTCAGTGGTTCTAATCCACTAACCACTCTGTAGAGGAAACCTGTGCCAGTCTACTTTGGTAAAGACTAGTTAGGTCCCTTTGCGTTGATTATGATTCACAGTGACCCTATGTACAGCAGAATGGAATACTGTCTGGTCCTGCCTTGGTTGGTGTCTGCTATAGCAAAACTACTACAAGTGGACGCTTTCAATAAACGGAAACTAATTGTCTCACAGATTAAGAGGCATGAAGTCCGAAATCAGAGTGCTGTTTCTAGGGGAAGGAAGAGCTTGGTCCTTTGCTCCTTTCAGCATCTGTAGGTCCAGCATTCCTTGGAGAGCTCCATGGGTCTGGCATCAGTCTTCCTATGGATCTAGGAGCTTCACAGCACCGGGACCACAGGTCCAGAGGATGCACTCTACTCTCGCCTCTTCTTTCTTGGTGGTAGTAGGTCCCTCTGAACTCTGCTTCCTTGTTTAGTCTCTTTTTATATTTCAAAAGAGGTTGACTCAAGATACAACCTAATCCCATAGATTGTATCTGGCCTCATTAACACCATAGAGTGAAGATTTACAACACATAGGGTCATTACATCTGAGCAGAGCAGATCAGTCATCACAGAACTGCGAAACCACTGAGAATTACAACACAGACAAGTTAACGCATATCTGGGGAGACACGATTCAATCTACCACATGTGGCAACACTGTGGAGCAGTTTCACTCTATCTTCTAAGATCACTGAATTAGAATCAGCTTGGTGATAGTAAATTTGTAAAACCCCAAACGAAAACCCCGGGCATCCAGTTGACCCTATAGGACAGAATAGAAACTGCTTCTTAGGGTTTCTGAGGCTGTAAGTCTTTACGGGAACAAGCAGCCACACCTACAGCCTTGGAGCAGCTGGTGGGTTTGGTCTGCTGACTTTATGGTTAGCAGCCCAACGTGTAACCCACTACACTACCAGGGCTCCACAGTTTTGGGTGTTGTTGTATACCATCGAGTCGGTTCCGACCCATAGCCACTCTGTATAGGGTTTCTGAGGAGCGACTAGTGAGCTTGAACTGCTGGCCCTGCAGTTCAAATGGCTTTGCAGTCTGGCGCATTAACCCACAGCGCCACACCAGGACTACTATTTTTGGGTGGTGTTGTTCTTGGTAAGTGCCATTGAGTCTGTTCCGACCCACAGCGACCCTGGATAGAGTTTTCAAGCAGCAGCTGGTGAGCTTGAACCACCGACCTTGCAGTTCAAACAGATTTGCAGTTTATGGCATTAACCCATAGCGCCACACCAGGACTCCATTTTTGGGTGTGAAATGATATCCTGGTTTTGATTTGCGTTTCCTAATGACTAATGATGTTGGACTTTTTTTATTCTGAGTGTATGATTTGCAGATTATTTTCTCCCATTCTGTGGAATGTTTCCCTTTTCTTTCTGTAATGCAGAACTTTTACTTTTTATGTAATTCCATTTAATTTTTTCTTTGTTGCTTGGGTTTTGGTGTCGTATGTAAGAAACCATTGCCTAACACAGGATCCGAGATTTATAGTTTAAGCTCTTACATTTAGGCGTGTGATCCCTTTTGAGTTAATTTTAGTGAATTGAGTTAATCTTTAGGTGAGGTAATAGTGCTAACTTTATTCTTTTGCATATGAATATCTGGTTGTCTTAGCACAGATTCTTAAAAATATAATTTTTTCCCCCCATTTAGTTGTCTTGATATTCTTGTGGTAAATCAATTAAACATTGCCCAATAGACAATTTATGATTTAACTTCTGGACTCTAATTTCTCTTCCATTAATCACTGTTATCCTTATGTCAGTTTCATATGGTCTTGATTACTTTAGCTTTATAAGAAGTGAGTTTTTAAAGTAATTATTATCATTTTATATGAGTTACTCACCATTTATGTCAGATTATACAGCATGAAATAATTATGAATATATCATTAAATATGCCATATTAACTTTATAATACATTTTATTTGATCATAACTGTAAGCCATATGCATCTAAGTTCTGATTTCATAGATCATTGCTTATGTAGTTGGTTTTCTGCTTATGCAACATCTAAAAATAATTAGAGAAAGTCATTTGTTGTATATTACACCAGTTGTTACCTTTAAAATGGCTTCTTAAAGGCAACTGTGAGATTATCTTTTCATGGTTATTTGCCTTTTGAATATTCTCTCTACGAAAGAAAGTAACTGCTTTTGTTCTTTCCTTTCTTTATGATTTATAGATTTTGTATGCTGAAACTTCTCAACCAGAGGAAAGGGCCTTCACAGTGTCCTTTGTGTAAGAATGATATAACCAAAAGGTATATAACTTGGGTAGTGATGGGAAGCAACAACTGGAAAAAGTAGAAATCCTTTAATATAGCTTGTGTTCCTGTTAAATGATCCATCAGTAGAAAAATATATGAGTATGTTTAGCAGGCAGAGTAAATGATTTCTAAAGCCATTTTCCGGAAAGTTTTCTGAAGTGTCTGCCTTATAAAGGTATTGTCAATTTATTGCCTTTTTCTAATGTTTCTGAATAGTGCAAGAACTTTCAGCCTTATCTAAAGTAGGACTGCGCCAGCCATCCTGTCCCCAATCTGTCTGCTGATGCTGTTTTGATTTTTCTTTTGCATTTATTCTTACCTAACCCTAAACACATACACATTTACTGTCTGTCCCTCCTGTCAGAGTATCTGTCTAAGTTAACACTGTATTTGCTATGTTTGGTACATGGTACAAACTTAGATATATAAAGGAAAGAAAGAAGGAATTCGATTTTCTGCAGCTCTCCTAAGCTAACATTTTTCTTTGGACATTGTTATGTATTTCCAAAATAATGTAATCATCCTTTTTTTTGATAGAAGTTCCCAGGAAACAGAAATGGGTTAGGTGGTGTTCCACTGTTAAGAATAGTATGATTTTTGTGCAGTATCCTTAAAAAGTTGATAATAACTTTTGTCAAATAATATAATTTCAGAAGCCTACAAGAAAGTACAAGATTCAGTCAACTTGTTGAAGAGCTGTTGAAAATCATTCATGCTTTTGAACTTGACACAGGATTACAGTGTAAGTGTTGAATAGTCCCAGAGGCCAGTGCTCAAGTGGCTGTCCACTAAAACTCAAGAAGTTTGCACATTTTCTGTGAATCGGTAAGACCTTTTGATTAAGATTAATTTTAGCTCTATTTGTTCTAAGTGCCAACTCCGACAATGGCTCTAAAACTATAGTCTGTTTTTTAAAATCATACCCACTGATCTCATACCTTATTTTACCAATTCTAAGATGCAGGTTTTTCACATTTTAACATCTTCAAAATTAGTATTTTATTATTGATGGTATGTAATTGCTTAATTTAGTGTATTTTCTTTCTGAATGGCACAGAAAATAATAATCGCTGATGTCAGAGTCAATGATATAGGGTCTTAGTACGCAAATTTGTTAGTATTGATTTTAAAATTATATAGAACCTTAAATGTATTGTCAGAACACAACAAGCAGCATGTACAGAATTTTTCTTGGTTTCCTTGATTATAACAAATGACTCTTTTTCTGTCCACAAAAATAATCCATTCTCTTAAAATTCAACAGTTGCAAATAGTTACCAATTTTCAAAAAAGGAAAACAACTCTCCTGAGCATGTAAAGGAGGACGTTTCTATCATCCAAAGTACGGGCTACCGAAATCGTGCCAGAAGACTGCGACAAAGTGGAACTGAAAATCCTGCATTGGTAAAGCCACTTCCATTTATTCTGGCAACAATTCTTTATTGAGCATTGTGAGTTAGTGAATGTTCTAGATGCTCAGTGACGTACATAAAAGTCAGGAAAGAAGATGGTAAAGTAAGTGTGTGAACAAGTGTTCTAGTCAGTCAAGTTAGAAGAGTTCAGGGAAGGTTGGTATACCTAGTGTGGCCAAGAGAGACCTAGGGCCAAGAGACCATGTTCCTGCTTTAGTGTTTTACCTGCTCAGTTGCTTGTCTAAAAGAGCCATAAGGTTCCTGGTGTTTGTAAAATAACCATCTTATGGCAATTCTTCAGGCATGAGGAGATACCTTCTGTTTTATTTCTGCTGAAAAGTGCCTTGGGGGGAAAAAAATCTGCTTCTGACATTTGAAAATTACTTCAGCCTAAAAGGTATAATTGTCAAAGAAAAATGTAACACTTTACTCTGTTGTTACTTGTATAATGGAGATCTTAATACCAGCATTCATTTTTCAGCTTCTACAGAAAGGCTAAGAGAAAAAAAGAAAGTTCCATCAAAGTACTGTTGGGCTTTTAAATCTTTCTCTTACTAAATGTGCTTAAGAATGTAAGATTTTTGCTGTATTCATTCACCCTTTATAAACATTTATTTTATCTTAGTTGCCAGCCTAGCTACAAGATATAATCAGAAATGTGTGCTAAATGAATCTCATTTTCTTCCCACACTACTAGCTTCAGTAGATGTTTTCCTTATATTTAAAAAAAAACTTACACAAATATATATTGAGGTTAGAACATTTTAAAACAACAGAGAGAGCAAAAAGTGTTTAAATCGCAAGTAACCCAGACATTTTGGTGTGTCATTTGCCAGGCCTCTTTATCAGGTGTCCAAAATATAGCATCAGTCATGACTCCTACAGCACGCTACTTCACAGCAGGGTTTGATAATTCATTGTAGTGACCACACAGAACTCATAGACAATACTCACAGTTATGGGGCTTATTTGGAAAGTTAACAGGTTATAAGGCAGGACCAAAGATGCACAGTTCTTCCACTCAGTATAGCGTCTCCTCTGCCATGCCCACGGGCAGGCCTTTTCTCTAGCCCTTGGCCTTGCCTCTGCCCTGCTCCAGCAGTGTTACAAAGCTCTTTTAGGGCTGCTAATAAAGCCTCAGTCCAGAGGTGCTCAGCTGTGAGCCTACACACCTAGCTCCCAGATTAAGTGTCTGGAGGCACCCCACTCCACAGTTCACAGTTAGCCTCCTGCCCATAGGCACTCAGCTTTACTTGCTCCATGGACTGGGATGTCCACTGCCCTGACTGGTACTCTGGCTCTTGGTTCTGCTGTGACTGCTTCTCTGCTATTCCTCCATTACTCCTCCAGTGTCAGCTTTTTGTCTCTGGGTCAAGGAGGTTCAATGCTCAGGGAATCTGAATCCAAAGGACACAGTCGTCTCCTGGTTCTTTCTTTGAAGTAGTGAGATCCTCCACTCCTACTTCTCAGATGGCTCATTTTATACGTGTCTGAGTCCCACGTTTTTACAATCATATAATCTTATCAGCATCTTCTCCCATCTTATGTTACTCAGACCCAGCAGAGCAAAAACATTGGTTCGTGGGAATTACAAAGACCATGGACAAAAGAGCCCTATGAAGTAATTCACTGCACTGCAAGGTGTCATAGAAATTTTAAATAATTGATCTTTGCTGATCTGTTTTGTCCATGGCTTCAAGCTTCCCTTTGGGGAAAAAAGCACACAACTGGACAAAAATTAGCTCACTTTTCTTTACTGTTGTACTTAGCAGGAAACCAGTTGTAATGTGCAGCTCTCTAACTTTGGAATTGTAACATCTCTGAGGACGAAGCAGCAAAAGCAGCTGCACAATAAGTCTGTCTACATTGAATTGGGTAAGAATTTTGTGAGTTTAAAGTAATCGTTGCTGATTTTCTTGTCTTCCCGTCTTAACAAAAACTTTGGTCATGATTTATTCATGTAACAGAGAGATTAGAAAACAAAATAATTTCACAAGTCCTATAGGTAATGCAAAAGATGCATCGCCCATCTTGAAGTGCCTTACTTTTTAGTGGAAGCAAAAGATATTTGGTTACGTGTTAAGTGCTGTGGAGTCGATTCCTACTCATAGCAACTCTGTACAGGGTTTCCAAAGAGCAGATGGTGGGATTGAACTGCCAACCTTGTGGTTTTCAGTCCAGTATGATCCTACAGCTCTACACCAGGAGTCCAGTGTAAATACACTTTGGAAATATGGGGTGTTGAGGCATCTGGAGGTATCAAATATAAATTATACTAGAGGAGAAAGCCTTTTTAGAAGAACTGAACTCACAGTTCAAATAGGTCTGTCTAATTGTGTTATTTTTTTAACATATTTAAATTTGGAAAACCTGGGTTCCTTTCAGCTCTCAAACTGCCCTACTGTATGTTTACTGTAGTACTGAGCAGATTTGGTTTAATTTGTCTACATGTCTTTCTCCCATCTTAACACAGTAAGTTTCTGGATAACAGGTGTTGTGTAATGAAAATAATCACACCAGCTAACATTTAGGAATACTTACTGGGTGTTTGACTTGGGTAGCTCAATGATACACATGCATGACATTTTAACATTTTTCACATTTTAACATCTTCAGAATTAGTATTTTATTATTGATGGTATGTAATTGCTTATGGTTGTTGCTGTATTATACTCATATGAAAAAATGAGGAAGTGATGCACAAAAAAGTGAAGAAGTTTTGCCAAGGGAGTAAAGAGCCAAGATTTGAACCTAGGAAGTCTGACTTCAGAACAGTGCTTTCGATTACTTCTCTTTGTTGTTGTTAAGCCTGTGTAGGGTTTCTGAGGAGCAATTGGCAGGTTTGAACTGCTGACCTTGCGTTTTGCAGTCTAGTGCTTATTCTAAGCGCAACACCAATACTCCTTTGCTTTATTGCCGGACATCTTTTTCTGTGCCTTCCACATAATGATACTTAGAAAATATTTTTTTAGTGAATGAGTATCTGTTTTGTAGCACATTTGTTTTTCTTCATTTCACCCTTCCAATAAAAAAAAACCTCTTACTGATTTGTTGTGGGGGGTGTTTGGGGAAATTTTTAGGATCTGATTCTTCTGAAGAGACCGTTAATAAAGCAAGTTACTACAGGTGAGTCAAAAATAAAGAGCCTTTGTGAAGCTGGTATTTTCATGTGAAGCTATGTATTAAGGACTGGAATCAAGGCATTATAAGAAACCTTAGAAATTATCTATTTTAATCTTTTGAATCATTTGAGAGCAGAAGAAATACCTTTTTGTGTGTTGCTTTATTAATAATGCCCAAAGGCATTTCAAAGAACAGGAGAACTCTGCAGACTGACTTCTAGCAGGTACTTGTTGGCTAGCTTTGTGCGCCACATACACTTGTATTGACAATTGTGGCTGATGAAAATTTGCAATTTCAACTCTTCTTTCTTTCCTCCTTAATTCTACTTCTCCTCCAAACTTTGTCCGTATAATTTAGACATTAATCTGCAAGCAGCCCCCACTGGGTTACCTGCTGGTGAGGGTGGGGACTGCGTCAGGCTATCAGGAAGGCATGAGGACATGGCTTTTCTTAGGAATCACTGCTCGACCTTGTCTAAGATTTGCAATAGCTGGTCTAAACTATGATGTATCATTGCCTATCAGTTTTTGTTTGCAAATGCCTTTTCCCTTATCTCACAATTGGGAGGAAGTTTACTTTTTGTTTTGGGGGCGTTTGTTTAGCTTGAAAAGAAGTGCGGGAAATGGTATAGTGATCTTTGTGTTTTGCGGGGGTAACTGCATGGTTTGGAGTCCTGGTGTAGCGGCTGTGGGTTAATGCACCAGACTGCAAAGCCATTTGAACTGCAAGGTCAGCAGTTCAAGTTCACCAGCTGTTCCTCGGAAACCCTATACAGGGTCACTATGGGTCGGAGCTAACTCGATGGCACTTCACAACAGCTGTGTGGTTTATTCTCATTCGCACAAGCTTATTTCCTCTTGTGCTCCAGTGCTCCCTTTGTTTATATATCTGCTCATTAAAATATACCTTTTATCACGATATACTTTTAAGAGTTTTGTGGGGTAGATAGGAGTGAGGATTTGGGGTTTTAGGGGTAAAACTGGCTAGGTCTAGGACTTCGTTTAGTGTTAGGTTCGTTCCATTGTCTTCTTGCCTGCATGGTTTCTGCTGAGACACCAGAGTTAAGTCTTATTAATTCTCCTTTGTAGGTAACTTTTTGTTTTTCCTGTACTGTTATCAGGATTATTCCCTTGTCTTTGATTTTGAAAAGTTTGATTATATTATTTCTTGGTAATTTTTTTTTTGGAGTCTATCCTATTTGGAATTCATTTAATTTCTTCAATGGCTATCTTCTCATCTTTCATGATTTTAGGGAAGTTTTCTTTCAACAACTCTTGGACAGTATTCTGTATGAATTTTTTTTTGTGTTTCTTCCTATTGTTTCAATTATGCATAAGTTATTCCTTTTGATATTATTCCACATAAATCTTACACTTTCTTCAGATTTTTTGTTCTTTTTTTCCTGATTGTTCCTCTAACAGGTGAATATTGAGAGATTTTTCTTCAAGCTCAGTAATTCTGCCTTCCCTTGCTTCAGTTTCTACATCTTTGCCCTTTCAGTGCGTTTTATCTATTCCTGAAGTCTTAGTATTAATCTTCCAGCTTTCTGATTGCTGTTTTTGTATGATTTCCATTTTCTCATCTATTCTATCAGTTTCCCTAATTCTTCTAAGGTTTTGTCCATATATTCCTTGATTTGTGCAGTTTTCTCCATCATTTTTTCAAGATGTTGAAATTGCCTTATTAGCATTCTTTTAAATTCTTTATCAGGTAGTTCAGATACCATTTCTGGTGTCATATTTTCTGACACTGTATTTTAGTCACTTGTTTAAGGCACTTTGTCTTGTTTCTTCTGAAACTGTCTGTTTTCTCCAAGATGTTGTAGTGTCATATTTATATTGGACTGATGGTTTATATTGGTGTGTTCTCAGGCACTTACCACCTGTCTCCAGGTGGCTGTGGTAGAGACACAAAATGTGCACAGTTCTCTATTCACTGTTTGTGTACATAGTTCAGGGAGGGTTCCCACGTCTGCAGAAGCGGAGATGCTATGTCTGGCATCCAGCTTCAGGAAGAGCAGAGGCTGAATAAAAGGGGGTGCCACTGGTAGGTTGGTGAGGGCGGGGACTGCGTCAGGCTATCAGGAAGGCACGGGAACACGGAAAAACTACCACCTTGCCATCACCCTCCCGCTGTCCTGTGTCTGTCTGCAGGCCGTTCTATTCACAGCCACTCACAAAACCCTGAGAAGGCCGCACCGCTCCACACCAGCCCACAGTTAGTCCATTTTTCTTCTCTCTGGCTGCACCTGTTCGGCTTCCTCTTCCAGCAGGCACTCAGTCCACCTCTCTGTCCTATCCCCTGATGCTCAAGGTTCCAGATTCACCATCTGTATTTGTTTCACTTGGCCTCCCTTGTCTTTGCAGAGGGACAGTGGCTCCGTGCATCTGCCAACTTGCCATCTTGCCCCGGCTTGTCCTTAGATGACCTTAGATGACGTTTTAAAATTACCTTTTGGCTTTTAAATTTTGGTTCTCATTTGCATATCCAAAGATCACAGTTCTACAGTACTGCTCTACTTTTTCTGACTGTGTGTCCTCATCTCTGTTTCCTTTCCATTGTTTCGTTGTTAAATGCCATTGTGTCGGTTCTGATTCAGAGTGACCCTGTATAGTGTTTCCAAGGAGCGACTGGTGGGTTTGAACTATAGACCATGCAGTTAGCAGTCCAGTGCGTATTCTACAGTGTCACACCAGGACTCTTCCAATCAGAAGTTATTAAAGGAGAGAACCGATTTTAAAGAATGAATCAGTTTGGTTGGCTTACTGTAGCCATACTTAGAGGAGCTAAAATATTTGATCTTCTTTTGACAATTCTCTAAGATTACAACTAGTTTTTCTCATTAGAGCTGTATCTTTTCCCTATAGTGTGGTAGACCAAGGCTTGTTACAAATCAACCCACAAGGAGACAGCGCTGAAGCAAGTTTGGATCCTGCAAAGAAGAGTAATGGCAAGTCTCCCCAACTTAATAGGCACTGAAGGAAAATGGGTAGATGCAGCCCTATAGTCAGATTATTCTGAAGACTATTTGGGACGCTAGTAATTCACAGCATCACTGGTCAAAGTTAGAATATCGTTTATTCTCAGCTGTTATGGTACATCCTGACACATATTTCAGGGTGCTAGATTATAGTAGTAATTCACAGCATCACTGGTCAAAGTTAGAATATCGTTTATTCTCAGCTGTTATGGTACATCCTGACACATATTTCAGGGTGCTAGATTATAGTAGTAATTCACAGCATCACTGGTCAAAGTTAGAATATCGTTTATTCTCAGCTGTTATGGTACATCCTGACACATATTTCAGGGTGCTAGATTATAGTACCCTATGTAACTGTGGCTGTTGCCCTTTCCTTTTAACCGATGTATGTGTTTTTTATCTTTTGCTTACTGGGAAATATATGGAAATATGAGTCTGAAGAAATGAGTACTGGGTGTCTGGTGTGTACACAGTCTGCTTTTAATTCACTCTTAGAGGTCAGAGGAATAGGTGTGGTTTATAAGAAGAGAATATTCTGAAATTAAAAAATCAATTATCTTAGCTGGAATTATGAAAGCCTAGATAAGTAGCAATTAGATGAAAGGTTATGGACTGCATCTTCGGTGTCCTTGGTAGTTTAAAAGGTGGTTGTTGTTAAGTACCATCAAGTTGGTTCTGATTCATACTGACTCTGTATAGGATTTCCAAGAAGCAGCTGGTGAGTTTGAACCGACGACCTTGTGGTTCAAACTGACTTTGCAGTCTAGTGCTTATCCTGCAGTGCCACAAAATATCCAGTTGCCTAATTTCCACTCCCAAGTTGTAGTAAGTATTTATATTTTTGTAATAATTCGGTTTTTTAAGTGTCTTATTTTTTTTTATGTTTTCAGCTACTTGTGAGTTGTCTGAGGACCTAACAAATGTTGAATATCATCAATCCAGTAATAAAGACTTGAATACCATTAAGAAGCATGCAACTGAGAGGCATCCAGAAAAGTATCAGGGTATTTCTGTTTCAAACTTGCATGTGGAGCTATGTGGCACAAATACTCATGCCAGCTCATTACAGCATGAGAACAGCAGTTTATTACTCACTAAAGACAGAATGAATGTAGAAAAGGCTGAATTCTGTAATAAAAACAAACAGCCTGGCTTAGCGAGGAGCCAGCAGAACAGATGGGCTGGAAGTAAGGCAGTGTGCAATGACAAGCAGACTTCTAACACACAGACAGAGGTGTATAGGAGTGCTGGTCCCATGTACAGGAGAAAAGAAGTAAATAAGCTGAAATCTCCATGGTCTGAGAGTCCTGGAGCTACCCAAGAGATTCCTTGGATAACACTGAATAGTAGCATTCGGAAAGTTAATGAGTGGTTTTCCAGAAGTGATGGCCTGGATGAGTCACATGATGAAGGGTCTGAATCAAATGCAGAAGTTGCTTGTAAATTCGAATTTCCCAACGAAGTACAAGGATATTCTAGTTCTTCAGAGAAAATAGACTTAATGGCCAATGATCCTCATGATGCTTTAATATGTGAAAATGAAAGAGTCGTCTCCAAACCAGCAGTAAGTAACATTGAAGATAAAATTTTTGGGAAAACCTATCGGAGGAAGACAAGTCACCCTAACTTGAGCCATATAACTGAAGACCTAATGATAGGAGCTGTTGCTACAGAAGCTCAGATGGCACAAGAACGTCCTGTTACAAATAAATTAAAGCGCAAAAGGAGAACCTCAGGCCTTCATCCTGAGGATTTTATCAAGAAAGCAGGCTTGGAAGTTGTTCAAAACACTCCTGAAAAGATAAATCAGGAAACTAACCAAATGGAGCAGAATGATCAAGTGAAGAATATTGTTGATGGTGGTCATGAAAATGATACAAAAAGTGATTATGTTCAGAAAGATAAGAGTGCTAACCCAGCCAAATCATTCACAAAAGAGTCTGCTTTCAGAACTAAAGCGGAACCTATAAGCAGTAGTATAAGCAATATGGAACTGGAATTAAACATGTACAATTCTAAAGCACTGAGGAAGAATAGGTTGAGGAGGAAGTCCTCTTCCAGGCATATTCACACACTTGAACTTGTAGTCAATAGAAATCCAAGTCCACCTACTTACACTGAACTACAGATTGATAGTTGGCCTAGCAGTGAAGAGATAAAGGAAACAAGTTCTGAACAAAAGCCAACCAGACACAGCAGAAACCTTCACCTCATGAAAGAACAAGAAACCACAACTGGAACCAAGGACAATAATAAGCCAAATGAACAAATAAGTAAAAGCCATGCCACTGACAGTTTGTCAGAACTAAACATAACAAATAGAACTGACTTTATTACTAACTGCCCACATTCTGATAATCTTCAAGAATTTGTCAATCCTAGCCTTCAAGGAGAGGAAAGGGAAGAGAAATCAGAAACAATGCAAGTATATGATAACACCAAAGACCCTGAGGATCAGGTGTTAAGTAGAAGAAGGGATTTGCAAATGGAAGGATCTGTTGAGAGTACCAGTGTTTCAGTGATACCTGATACTGATCATGGCACTCAGGACCACACCTCATTACTGGAAGCTGGCACCCTCAGGAAGGCAGAAACAGCACCAAATCAATGTACAAGTCAGTGTGAAGCAATTGAAAATCCCAACCAACTTATCCATGGTTGTCCTAGAAATGACACAGAGGGCTTTAAGGATCTATTGAAACATGAAGTTAAACACAATCAGGAGACATGCATAGAAATGGAAGAGAGTGAACTTGATATTCAGTATTTACAGAATACATTCAAGGTTTCAAAGCGTCGATCATTTGCTCTGTTTTCAAATCCAGAAAAGGAATGTGCAACAGTTAGTGCCTACTCTAGGTCCTTCAGGAAACAAAGTCCAAAAGCCACTCTTGAATGTGGCAAAAAAGAAGAAAATCAGGGGCACAAAGAGTCTAAAATCAAGCATGTACAGGCAATTCTTACAAGTGTGGGCTATCCTGGACTCTGTCAGAAAGAGAAGTCAAGTGATTATACCAAAGGTAGCATTCAAGGGGCCTCTAGGCTTCGTCAGTCATCTCAGTTCAGTGGCAATGAATCTGAACAAATTACTGCAAGCCCAGATCAAACACCATTGCTTTCTAAATGTAAGAAAAACCTGTCTGAAGAAAGATTTGAGGAACATGCAGTATCACTTGAAAAAGCAGTGGGAAATGAGAGCATCATTCAAAGCACAGTGAGCCAAAATCACATTAGGGAAAGGGCTTTTAAGGAAACCAGCTCAAGTAGTACTAATGAAGTAGGTTCTAGTAGCGAAAACATCCAAGCAGAGGTAGGTAGGAACAGAGGACCTAAGTTAAATGCTATGCTCAGATTAGGTTTTATGCAACCTGAAGTCTATAAACAAAATCTTACTCTAAGTAATTGTAAACATCCTGAAATAACAAAGCAGGGAGACAGTGAAGGAGTAGTTCAAGCTGCTCATCCAGATTTCTCTCCATGTCTAATTTCAGATAACCTAGAACCACCTATGGGGAGTAGTCATGCCTCTCAGATTTGTTCTGAGACACCTGATGACCTGTTAGATGATGATGAAATCAAAGAAAATATCAGCTTTGCTGAAAGTGGCATTAATGAAAAATCTGCTGTTTTTAGTAAAGATGACCAGAGAGGACAATTCAGAAGGAACCTAAGCCCTTTATCCCATTTAGATTTGACTCAGAGTCACTTAAGAGATACCAGAGAATTAGAGTCCTCAGAAGAGAACCTCTCTAGTGAGGATGAAGAGCTCCCCTGCTTCCAACATTTATTATTTGGTAAAGTAACCAATGTATTTTCTCAATCCACCACACATAATGCTGATGCCGTAGATTGTCTGTCTAAGAACACCGAAGAGAACCTAGGATCAGTACAGAATAGCATAAATGGCTACAGTAACCAGGTAACATTGGTAAAGACATCCCAAGAACATCATTTTAGTGAGGATACAGGATGTTCTGGTAGCCTATTTTCTTCACAGTGCAGTGCATTGGAAGATTTGCCTACAAATACAAACACCCAGGGTCTTACAAATACAAACACCCCAGGTCCCTTTTTAGTGTTTGGTACTCCTTCCAAACACGTGAGTCATCAGTCTGAAAACCAGGAAGTTGCTCTGAGTGACAAGGAATTGGTTTCAGATGATTACGAAAGGGAAACTGGCCTTGAAGAGGATAATCACCAAGATGACCAGAGTGTGGATTCAAACTTAGGTATTGGAACCAGGTTTTTATATTTGCCCCAATCTGTTTTTTTCTGTAAATGAGCTAAATGTATATGCCTGTTGGGGGAGCACTTTGTATGAGTTTCAATAGTCATTAAAATGTGTCTCCTAAGGTTGTTTCCCTTGAAGTCAAAAGTCTCACCCAGCTGCAAGGATGTCTTTGAATGAGATTTAATGCCCTAATTGTTGGTTTTTACTGTTGTGATTTCTAAGAGGAAATCCATGTCTCCCAAAGTAAGGACTATAATCATTTTATGTGACATGAAAGTGAAATATGACCTTCTGCCAATAGGAAGAAACAGATAGAACAAGTTGCAGTGTTTGCTGCTTGTTTTCACATCTGAATCTCTGTTTTCATTGTCCTTTAAGGTGAAATAGCATCCGGGTATGAGAATGAATCAAGCCTCTCTGAAGTTGGCTCAGGGCTGTCCTCTCAGAGTGATATTATAACCACTCAGGTAAAAAGTGTATGTGAATATGTATATTGATGGCCTTTCATTCACTAATATGTATCCCGCTTCAATTGTGTCTTAAGACTGTATTTGTTAAATGCCATTGAGTCAGTTCCAACCTAGCGACCTTGTGTAGGGTTTCTGAGGAGCAGCTGGTGGGTTTAAGCTGCTGACTTTGTGGTTAGCAGTCCAGTGTTTATCCTGTAGCACTACAATGCCTTGTCTCCTCAAGACTTTGATGGAACTCATTTTAGTTCATACTTTCACACAAACACACACACCACACATACTCTCTAGTCTACTACTGGACGCTAACTATTGAATTTAATGAATAAACTAAACTTTGAAAACTCATTTATGCTGTTGCAAAAACATATGCGGAAGTACTGCTGTATCAGAGGGAGCAGCACCTTTGCTGTTGAGACCAGCTGGAGCCTACAGGGTTCACATTCTATTAGAGATTGCCCAGCATTTCGCTGTTTATGGATTTTCCTTTTTGCATTTGCTAGTTGTTCTTAATGCTCTTAAGTCATCTTTTTCCTTTGAAAAAGAATGTACAATTTTATATTTTATACCCAAAGGTCAAGTCAATAATTTGATTAAAGGAACATCTTTATTGTATCTATAACATACCTTAACCTGAATGTTTCAATACACAAAGCAGAATAGTCTAGAAAAAAATCATTCTTCGTCACAACATTTAAAAATTAACATCTTCCTCATAGAATCTGACTTTGTCTCCTAATTTTTATTTTATAGGAGTGGTACCAAAAATTTCCGCTTTATTATATTCAGAAATTCAATCACTCAACTTATTTGTTCATGTTCTTGTCTCCCTTTGATTAGCAACTTACTGGCTATCTCATTGTTGTTCTACGTATTCCTAGCTCAGAGTCCCACACAGTGTCACACAATGTCAGCTGATGATAATATATTGGTGGAATTCTGGACCTTGCCATGTGATCCTAGACAATTTGCTTACCTTCTCTAACTGTAAAATCTACATTATTAAAATGATGTGACCTGTATCCCTTGAATCATGCTACCCTGCCTTTTTGTGGAGCTGTGGGATAAAGCACTGGACCACAAGGTCGGTGTGAATCACAAGGCCAGCAGTTCAAATGCACCAGCCACTCTTCAGAATCCCTATACTATGAGTCAGAACCGACTCAACAGCACTTCACAACAACAATCAAACTTCAGATAGACCTTTAGCTGACCGAAAGTAAATGGCCTTTTTTCCTGAAGTGTCAGAGTAGATGAAATGAAAACCCTGATGTTCTTAGGAAGTTATGCATGTGCATCATAGAAAACTTAGAAAAATACAGATAAACAAAAATTACCCAAAGGGGTTGGCTCAATAAATTTTAGCATATCTATACAATGGAATACTGTGCTCTCATTTAGAAGACTGAGGCTGCTGAAATGGAACAATTGCTAAGATACAGCGTCATGTGGATAAAAGATGATGTGTAGGATAAGTTAGCATGGCGGTGATGGGCGAATACACATGCAGGGAAGAGTAGTTGTCTTCAGGTGGGGAACCAGATCGCTCTGAGAAAGGGAAAGAAGAAGCCTTGCTTTTCTCTGGATACCCTTTTGTGCATTGAATTTTAGACCATGTGCATATATTACTAAAATGTTTAAGTTTTGCAAATAATTCAGAAATAATTACTACTCATGTGGCACTGTGAGTTAATGCACTGGACTGCAAGGTTGGTGTGAACTGCAGGGTTGGTGGTTCAGGCTCACCAGCTGCTCCTCAGAAACCCTATACACACAGGGTCACTATGGGTCAGAACCGACTTGATGGCACTTAACAACAATAAGTTATTTGTAATATCCTTTAAGTTTTCTTCCTATATGCTCATAGGTATGTGTATATGTTGTTGTTTTTTCAAAGAGATGTGTGTGTGTGTGTGTGTGTGTGTGTGTGTGTGTGTGTATCTTTGAAATTTTTTAAAATAGTACTATTGTTGTTAAGAGCTGTAAGGTTGGTTTCAACTCATAGCGACCCTGTATAGGGTTCCTGAGGAGTGGCTGGTGAGTTTGAACTACCGACCTTGAGGTCCAGTACATTAACCCACAGAACCACATCAGGACTCCAATATAGTACTTCACCTACTTATATTTGTAATTTCGTTTTTAGTCATTGAGTTTTCTTCAGTGACTTTACTTTTAATTTTGATACAGCATTCTATCCGTTTGGTGTATCATGACATATTTGACCTATTGCTGAATATTAAGGATTTCTGGATAGGAGGCATCATTTGCTATTATATATAGTACTGTGGTGGGCATCCTATAGCTAAATATTTGCCCACATCCTTGATAAGTTCTTTAGTATAAATTCCTAGGACAGAAATGTTTGCCCTTTGATACATTGCTGTCGTGGGTAAGAACCATCGAGTTGGTTCTGACTCATAGTGACCCTGTATAGGGTTTCCAAGAAGCAACAGGTGAGTTTGAACCTCCAGCCTTGCGGTTAGCAGTCCAGTGCTTATCCTACAGTGCCACACCAGGACTCCTTTGATACCTTGTTGTTATTGTTGAGTTGGTTATGATCCATAGTGACCCTGTATAGAGTTTCCAAGGAGCGACTGGTGAGCTTGAACTGCTGCAAACCTTGTGATTCAAACCAAGTTTACAGTCCAGCACCATTAATCCACAGTGCCATACCAGGACTCCCCTTTGATGCATATATATTATTAAATTGTTCTTTAGAAAGATTGAACCAATCTCTGTTTTCCCTGGCTCTGTGGTATTTCATCGTTCCCACGTCTCTGTATGTTTGCCAACACTGTGTGGTATCTTGTTTTTAAATCTTGGCGTTGCTCTGAGGACTGTAGATAGAGAGGAGTTGTCTTCTGCTGCCCATTCTCTGTGCAGAATAAATCCTCCTAGACCCAAAGCCTGCTGGAGTAGGGAGGAAACTTTTGAGAAGACTGCCTGTTCTGAACCTGAGTTGTCATTAGCGTTCTCTGCTTCTGCAGGATTGCCATGGTGATTAAGTTGACGAAAAGACGAGGAAGCCTTTTCTCTGTTTGCAATCCTTGTGATCCTTTCTGGATGTGGACTTGGTATTCTGTCACTATATATGCCTTTCACCTAATTTTGCCCTTTGTGGTTTAAAGTTTTAGATTCCAGTTTCTGATTTCTTCTGCCTTTACCATACTGCATTATGTTTGACATTGAATAAACTGCCACCTTGGCTTTTTGTATCCCTGATCTTTCCCCAGAGATATGACTATTTGTGCAAGATTCTCTATGCAAGGTATTTTTGACCAAGCATCTACCCCCAAAAGAGCCAAGTTAGAATTCAGACTAACCAAATCTGAAGTAGAATGGTCAGACAAATGATTAAGATGGACTATTTCCTAGAGATTTCTCTGTTTATTACAAAACTGAGAAGTATAGAAGAAATAGAAAATTCCAATTTGGTATTATTAGTATCTGTTTTTAGTCATAGACTAATAACCTTTATACTCACTTTTTTTTTTTTTCATTTGTACATTAAACATTTACTGAATATTTGCTATCTGCTAGGCATTGAGGGGAGTCCTGGTGTGGTGGTGTAGGGTAAACACTGGATAGCTAACCACAAGGTCAGCAGTCCAAACCCACCAGCTGTTCCTCAAAAACCCTATACAGGATCATTGTGAGTTGGAACCAAGTCGATGGCACTTAACAATAACAGGCATTGAGAAAACAAAGTGATTAAGGAAAGATGCCTCCCATCAGTGAAGTCTTACATCCCACTTCAGTTTACTAACATGTATAATCCAGGGGAGGAGAGAGAATCATCAACAACCCAAAGCCGATTCCTATGAGGTCAGACAAGCCTCCACCCTCCAACCTTTTAACCAATTCTGACAGCAGCTGTCCCTTCCACGGCATTCTCTACTTCTCAGCTGGGTTTGGTAATGCATTGTAATGGCCACACAGAACCATACTCAAATTTATGGGGTTTGTTAAGGAATAGGTCACAATTCAGAATCAGGAGTTATTCAGGATAGAATTCTTCAATCAGGACTCATAGACCTCTCTGTGGTCCCCAACCTCTTGACCTGACCTCTGTCCTGCATGGGCAAGTGTTACAAAGCGGTTTTCCTCTGCCAGTAAGTGTCTAGAAGCACCCCACTCCTCTAGTAAGTCTTGAGCTGAAGACATTCAGCTTTTTCACTCCACTGTAGCCAACTTAGGCTATGGGTTGGGAAACCCATTGTGCCATCTTGTGCTGGTCTTCTGATTCTGCTGCTGGTTTCTCTGCTGTATTTGCTGCCATCTCAGACCCTCTCTGGTGTTAAAGCACTCTCTGGGTCCTGGGTCTAGGAGGTCTCAGGCAGGGACTGTGGGTCCAAAGGATGTGCTCTGCTCCTGGTTTTTTCCTCTGGTCTTTCTTCATGGTAATGAGATTTCTCTCACTTGGGTTGCATACACTTCACTTGCATAGTCCCACTCTCACAAGGTGGGACATATTGCATTGTTAGCAAACTGTCCGTGCTCCTTGGTAGACCACAGGCACTTTATTTGCATAGTTCTGGTGTGGTGCTGTGGTTTAAGGCACGAGACTGCTAAGCCATTTGAACTGCAAGGTCAATGGTTCAAGCTCACCAGCTGCTCCTTGGGAACCTTAAACAGGGTCACTATGGGTCAGAATCGACTCAGTGGCACTTAACAACAACAACCCAATCATTGAACTGTTATCTGAAAGGTTGGTGGTTCAAACCTATCAGCCGCTCCTTGGAAACGCTCTACTGGGTTGCAATCAGTTGAAAATAACTCAATGGTATTTAACAACAACAACCCAATCATTGTTTGGGAGTTGTAAGACCATGCTTGGGTACAAGAGTCATATTAAGTATAGGCAATCCCCAAATTATAAACAAGTTCTGTTCCTAAGTCTATCTTTAAATGAATAAAGAATAAGTTGGAACAGTTAAGTAATTTGTATTTAATATCAGTTAGTCAAATGTGTTAGTATATAATGTTCCTTTCTGTGCATAAAAAATCATTAATGGAACACTTCCAGGTATACTAAACATCTTTAGCATAATTACTGTTAAAGAAAACTCAAAGGAAAGTTACATACCTATCAGTCTCCCCGTCTTTCCACTGTTTAATGGCCACAAAGACGTTAGATGATCATGACTAAAGTGACTAATAAAGCCTTGGAAGCATTGACCAGAGATGTCTGTGTGTGGTCCCATTCCCAGTTTAGTAAGGCAAGGTCTTGATCTATGATGTAAGTACTCACAAGCACCACGTGGTGGCAATGGTGTTGCTGTAGAAATTGGCAGCAGAGCAGTTTCAGGGACGCAGTAGAAATCTTTGTGAAGCTGGAAATAAATTTTCTGGTCATTAAAAACCTGAAACTGCATTCCGTCTAGCAAGAGAAAGACGGCTTATTTTAGTAGAGGGGGAAATAGTTTTCAAGGATCAGAAGGAGATGAAACACAGAGTGAAGCAATTTTCAGTTTTGCTACAACCATTGGTGTCCTTCTAAAAGCAAAGAAGAAATGTGTGTTTAAAGCCCTTACCTAAATGATTCACTTATTATGAACTTAGCAGATTTCGCCTTGAAATGGTTCAATAACCTTCAGAAACCCCATAAGTGAGAAGAGACCATTAATCTTGTACTGAAAACGTTAACTCTCCTTACCAGCATTCTGAGGGTTCTTTCTGTTGCAACCTTTTCTCTAGTAGGTCATTTTCTCTAATTATCTCCAGGCACCTGTCCACACCATGAAGCCTGTATCCCCAGAAGGACCTGGCACATAATGTTGTTGTTAGGTGCCATCAAATCAGTTCCAATGCATAGCGACCTTATGCATGTAATAGATAGTCAAGTAAATAGGTAGAAAATGAGTGAATTAACTCTATGTTACTTCTATTAGAAACTAAAGGTTCAAAAACACCCAGAAAGGGAACAGTCTCACCAGTTACAGCCTCACAGCAGGATTACCAATTGCATTTTTCCGAAACACCTTATAAAGGAAGCTTTTTCTAATATTCATCAGCCTAAAAAGGCAGACGTTTTTATAGGAACAAAAACTTCTGATGAATCTCTTAATACCAAGTTTATGAAACACAGCCTGTGTACAATGTTAACAGAATCATGTTATTTTTTAAATCTTTTTTATTTTGTTGTTGCTGAGAATATATACAGCAAAACCTACACCAGTTCAGCAGTTTCTGTAATTAAAATTTAATGATGTTGATTACATTCTTCAAGTTGTGAAACCATTCTTATCCTCCTTTTCTGAGTTGTTTTTCCCCCATTTAATAAACTATCTGCCCCCTATGGTTCTGAATTGGTCAAGTTACTATTAACACTTTTATCCCATATGCATACATCTTAAAAGAGCATAATGCTCAAGGCAGAAATTTTTTACTAGTTAAACAATTGTTTGGGTTTATGATGACTTCAGGGGATATTATTGGTTTGAGGTTTAAAGATTATCTTAGGGCAGTAGTTTCTGGGGTTCATACAACCTTCGTGGCTCCAGGAAGTCTGGATTTCATGAGAATTTGAAATTCTGTTCTGCATTTTTCCCCTTTTGATCAGAATTATTCATTATAATCTTTGATCAAAATGTTGTTTTCACCTTTTAGATGAATATAGATATATGGGTACCTGGTATTTTTTGGCATGAAATTGCTGGATCACATAGAGCAACTAAATCCATTGCCATCAAGTCAATTCCAACTCATGGCAACCCTATAAGACAGAGTAGAACTGGCCTATAGGGTTTTCAAAACGAAATCTTTGCAGACGTAGAATGCCACCACCTTCTTTCATGGAGCAGCTGGTTGATTCAAACCACCAACCTTTCAGCTTGCAGACAAGTGCTAAATCACTGCACCATCAGGGTTCCAAATATTGTCGTTAGAGTCTTACTGGTTTTAATATCAATTGTTTATATACTTTAATTATTCTTCACTCCCTCACTTTAGAAGAAACTGACCACTTCAAAAGGTCATCATTAGTCTATTTGAGAAAATTTGAGGATTTTTTTTCCCCCTCTCTAGTATTATTCTGAAATAATTTCATGGGCATTAATTGCATGATTATGGTTGGATTAAAAAGTGTTCAGCCGGAACTCATAATTCCATACTAGTTGATTTCAATTCGCATCCTAAAATTAATTACAGTGACATACTTTTTGCTTTCTGTCAAGTTTCTCAAAGAATGTAACTTTCTCTGTATCATTTCTTGTGTTTGTAGCAGAGGGATACCATACAAGATAACCTGATAAAGCTCCAGCAGGAAATGGCTGAACTGGAGGCTGTGTTAGAGCAACATGGAAGCCAGCCTTCCAACAGCTCCCCTTCCCTTCTCACAGGCTCTCATGCCCCCAAGGACCTGTTAAATATGGAACAGAACACATCAGAAAGAGGTACTTTGTAATATTGGCCAATCGTTATCTTCAGCAAAATTCTTTCCCTCCCTAAGCTTTTATTTCCTTCTGAAAAATAAGGACTTAGCTCAACAATTTATGATCTGTGCTCAGCACATATTTACCAAGTCACTCTCTGAGTCATTTTAAAACACTGGTTCTAGTCCCTGCCCACAACTAATTTACCATTGGTAGAGGACCCAGGGCAGTGTCTGACTGGCACCTGTGATGAGGAGATACTATATGGCGCTCAGGAGACTCACACTCAGGTCTTTGCTGTTAGGTAGCTAAGTGTAAAGGGGGAGATTTCAGAAAATGTATGGAAAAACACGGAGACATACATACATGCCTTATAACACTGGTATGAGATCACAACTACTTGTCCAGTGTGCTTTCTGATTTATAGGCAGAGATGTTCGTATACTTCAGGAGCACAGAAAGTCCAACTGTGTATCAGACTCAAATGCTTTCTAACAGTGTTATTAGTTCAGCAAGGCCAGATGGCCTTCTGAGAGGAGGCATTTGAAGTAACCAGGCAGGTGGGGCTGATCTGAGCTGACTTCCTGTAAGAGGTGAATGCTAAGCTAAAGAATAATGTGCTCCTATATCAATAGAAGGAGTCCTGGTGTAGCACTGTGGGTTAATGTGCCAACAACAGCAGCAACAAATATCAATAGAAAAGGAGCTCTGGTAGCGTAGTGGTTACAAATCGGGCTGCTAACCTCACAGTCAGTAGTTCGAAACTACCAGCTGCTCCACGGGAGAAAGAGAAGGCTTTCTGCTCAAGCCTAAGAAACCCTATTCAGGGTTGCCAAGAGTTGGAACCAACTCCACGTCACATATCAATAGAAAGAGTGGCACTGTAGGATAAGCAATAGACCTCAAGGTCAGGTTGAACTGCAAGGTTGGTGGTTCGAACTCACTTGAAGGCACTTAATAACACTACCATATCAATAAAAAACACACTGACAGAAATAGAGGAAAGTGAGATGAAAACTTGATTTTTAATTGGATAGAATGTTATATAAAAGCACACCAGGTAGGTTACTTTTAAGAGGAGTAAACAAGTAGAGGAGTCCTGGTGTGGTGCTGTGGGTTAATGTGTTGAACTGCAAGCTCACCAGTTGCTCTTTAGAAACCCTATACAGGGTTGCTATGAGTTGGAACCCACTCGACAGTACTCAACAACAACAAAGCAAGTAGAAGAAAAGCTAGTCAGAGGTATGGGGTCCACAGGAGGAGCTTGGTGCTTTAGAAACAGGTGGGGGTAGTGAGCCCCTCCCAAAGTGCACTTTACTGCTGTTTCCATGACGCCTACCCAACTAACCTAGTATTGAGCTTCCTTCTCTAGCATTCCTTTCCCCAGTCTTATTGGGAAAGCTTGGGAGCTGTTTTTGAGTCTTTCTAGGAACTGGAGTCTGTTAATTATTCAGATTAGTGGGCTTGGTCCTGGGTGTCCCTTGCAGTGCTTTTATGTTCAGGGAGAAACAGTAGCTTATGCATGAGAAGCTAGAACTCTATTGCTATGGCAGCGGTTCAGACTGTATTCCCTTAAATGCATTCTCTGTAGCCATAGCTTCATTTAGTTCATCTCCCATCTACAGAAGCCCTAAGTCCTGGCCCCACCAAAGTTCTCTTCTTTGGGGGGCTTTCACCATCTTCAGTCTAAAAACAGACTAGAGTTTCAATTCTAATACAAAGTTATAAAATGTTATTGTCTGGCTCTGAATATCTGTAAAATCTGGTCTTTGTGTGAACATAAGTTTACCTTTTTCTTGAAGATCTGTAGATAAACTGTTTCTTTACTGAAATGTTTTGAGCATCAATTTAATATAACTCAAGTTTTAAGCATTTCCCCCACTTAATTGTATAAATCTCTACTGAAATTCAACCACACCTGGTAATGCTAGGAAAAACTGTTATTTGCTCTCAACTATATTCATGACATATTTTTTTCAGTCAACCTTGATTTTGGAAATAATTTTAGATTTACAGAAAAGTTGCAGTGTATATCCCTCACGCAGCTTCATTTTCCCATAATGTTAGCATCTTACATTACCATGATATGTTTGTCAAAACAAACAACTAACATTAGTACATTACTATTAACAAAACTCTAGACTTGATTTTGATTTTACCAGTTTCTGTTTTTTAGGATCCAGTGTTCATAATGATATTGAAGCCCCCTTTTCTAGGGTCTTTACATCAAATGTTCTGCCCTCAGTATAGATCTGTCCTACTGTTTGTCTAAGGGTTGTTTCTAAGCAAGCACAGTATTTTGGTACAGATATAAAGGGGGGCTTCAAAAAGTTCATGGAAAAATGGAATTAAAAGAGAATGAAATTTTTCCATGAAGTTTTTAAAGCCCCTTTGCATATACTTTTTTTTTTTATGTATATATACAGAGAGGTTTATATCAAGGAAATGGTTCAGACAGCTGTAGACACGGACAAGTTCCAAATCTGTAATGTCAGACTGGACGCTTTTCCTTATTCACGTAGCTGTGGGACTGCAGAACCAAAGCCTGGTTCCTTCTGACTGTAAATATGAATGAATCAAAGCTTGGCAGGTAGGTTGATGTCGACTTCCAGGATTGGCAGATAATATGGCAGGCAATTGGCTCAAAGTCCAAAGGGGTCAGATGATAAGCTAGATACAGGATCCATACTCAGCAAAAAGCAAATAAGGTTTTCCAGATCATCCACATATGTTGGAAGCAGGTCACACCCTCATGGAAACACCTTTTCAATTGATTGATTGCTCATAGCAGATCTCATATTATGTATGACACCTTCAATTGAACCAATGTATACTGATACTTACTATGGACCAGTTGTAGGATAGACCTTTGTTGTTTCAATTTTTTTTTTTTCTTAAATGTTTTATTGTGAATAATGTGATAGTTTACATGGGAGAACATTAGTTTTACATTCATTCTATCATATATCGTCTCATTACCATGGTTACGATCCCCTCCATGCAATCCTTCCCCCGTACCCCCCAGGTCTTCAGCACACAGTCGCTCTCCCTCTCTGGATCTAAAGT